ACGATTTCTATATATATATATATATATATATATATATGACGTAGTGTAAGTATCAACTTTTCATGATTATTTCATTTCATATGCTTCTCTCTCTTTCACCTTAATTCCAAGGTATAAGGAGGGTGCCTTACACAAACCTCACGTTTTTATATATGATAGATAGTATAGTATAAGTATCAAGATTGTGTCATTTGATGTGCCTCCCCGCTCTCTCTCTGGGGTTGTAAAATTGGAAACCTTCGGATGGCTGCAATGTGTAGGCGATGACCTGACCCTCTAGCAAGCAAATGAAGTGTTCAGATCACTAATGCAAGGATTGAAAAGTACTATGAAATTTGGTCAGAATATAATAATAGCAAATTTATTTTATCAAATCACCTATGAGACCAAGAATTTAACACCTTATCCATATTTTTTTATTTAATTGCAAAATAATCATAAATTGGAATGTTTACAGATGAGTAGGATGTTAAATAGCACTTGCAGGTAATATAAGAAATTGCCCTGTAATTGAAGAAGATTCTTTAAATGTGCTGAAATTGTACAATAAGAAAATATGGAAACTCATGTATTGGCAAAACAAGGAGAAGAATTAATAATTTGTTGAGGTGTAACCTTGTGTGCTTTTTTCATAATGAAGAATTAGGTATATAATGAATAGGCAGGTTACATCCTCTATAGCTTGTTTTTGTATTGGGAAAAGTTTATATAGAGCTCTAAACAATCAATTTTGAACCTAAAACATTTCACTAGGAGAGGTTGTTTTGATGCTCAAATATCTTCAAATTGATCATCTTGGCATCAATAAACATGGACATGAAAGGAAAAAAAAAGATTTCAAATTTTAAAAATAACATATTTTGTAACACATTTTTGGACCATCAATTTTCAAGATTTTCAAGTTTTCATATATCTGTCGATCTACACTATTTTTGAAGATTTAAATTTTATAAATAAATATAAAAATATATTCTAAGGCTATCACAAAGATTTCCAATATTGAAACTATATTTCTCAACACCATTTGAAAGTGGGCTCTAATTTGATCGTTTAGAGCCTAGGCTCTATACAAACCGCACCCTTTTGTATTTTCTGTTGCAATTGTTTTTGTTAAAGAATAAAAGGTCAACATTGTGTCAAAGAAATAAAAAAATAAAAATCCCCCACCACAATACCCTCATTATAAAATGACCAAAATAGCGCTCAACATTTTGCTCCTTCGTTTTTTCGGGACCGCTCAAGCCCAAGGCTGATTCCAAAATCCGAACACTTAAAAAGGGGCTCAAAATCAGAAAATAAGATGCAGAAGAAATACAACAGAAAATAAACTGGAGTCGCAGTCATTGAATGGAACATGTATGTACAAATGAATGATACTCACGCTGACAAAAAAAATGAAAAAGGTACGAAATTAGTAAGCACGGGGGAGGACAAAAAGAAACACTGGGTGTCAAATTTCTCATCGGATAGAGACAGAGGGTATGGAGATGCCACCCCAATCCACACACTCTTATACATATCTCTTCACATTGCGGTACAAATCGATGGCATCTGCTCCCGAAAATTCATCCTGATAAACAAACAGTTTAACACAAAAGAGAAGCTCAGTAAGAAACCACATTCACGAACCACTTTCAATGCTTATTCCCAAAGAACCACCACCTTCTCTTCTTCTTAGTTTCTTCCCATGTTGGTGAATCTGTGGATCCCATTGACAACAGCATAAACATTGCGTCAGATGAGCTTTTTGATGCTCTTTTTTGTACTTTCTTCGCTTTATATTGATTGCTTAAGAATAAACATGGAAGGGATAGCATAAAATGGGACAGGATGTGTTAACTGACCTCCTGCTGGATAGATTGAGTTATAGTGAACCTCTGCCCAGAAACTCAAGAAAATAACTGCACAACAAAATTCCAAAATCCATAACTTCCCACCTCAACCAACAAAAGAAAAATGCAATAACAAAGAAAAAATGCCGAGTTATTGTGAAATCCATTGCAACATGTTCATCTTCCATTATATTATTAGATTGCAGAGACCTGTCTCCAAGATAGGGTGGGAATGGGTCGGTTCGGATCAGGGTCGACCTAGACCCAGACCCAAATAGGTCTAAGTTAGATCCGAAGTTGACCAGGATCGAGACGGGCAAGTCAATTGGCCCTAGACCTGATCCACCAGGTCTGGTGGGCCGAATCCAGGTCTTTAAATGAAAAGTATATTAAAATTATTTTATATTATTTATATATATTTTATACTAATATATACTGGGTCAGGTTGACTAGGGCCCAAGCCTGGACCCAAACCGACCCCCGATAGGGTCCAAGCAGGAATCGGTCTCGGACCCGAACTAGGTTGGATCAAGGTCAACTGCATCCAAACTTAACGTGTCAGGTCCACCGTCTGGGTCCAGACCTAGCCCACTGGGGTCAACCCATTGGGTCCATGGGTGGACCCGACCCGACCCGTTTCCCACCCCGATTACTTATCTTCCTCAATGGAGTAGAGTAGTCTATCAATTTATAATGGTCTACTATCAATGGCCAATGTAAAACCATGTGTATTGAGGTCACAGATGTGCAATAAAATGATAGGCTGATATTATGACCCCAAAATGGGGCTCGGTGATAACCCCAAACGATTATGCTTTCCTTTAGTCCATCAGCTCATAGTATACTTACCATTTATATACATATGTTGGCACATCCCATGCACATAAGTGCGCTCTAAAGCACAGAACTGCATAACCAAACTCCTACAGGGGAACTTCATAGTTGCCCATAAAAATATGGAGACATACCTCTCTTTGATTTTTGAACGTTTGGAAGAATTTCTATGAAGCACGTATCCTTGAAAGATGTAATCACACATATTTTTACTCCATACTGCACATACAGAAACATAAATAGCATCACAACAAAATTAAATTCTAATTAATTAATTCTTTGAGCAGATTTGCAAATAGACCAAAAGAAACAATGCACATGACATTCTATAATATTCACTATTGCAATTAATTAACAATAGCTTGGAATGCCATCTGCCGAATGATGATGATAATGATGACAGCAACATTCTCTTAATGATCCCAAAAGAGAAGTACAGTGCTGGCGGCAAGTTCCACTCAAATGAAAACATAGTTCAAGAGTTATAGCTTAAAAATTGCAACACTCCAAACCATTACATTTGACATGGTAACTTAATGGAACTCTGGACTACACTATATCAATACTGTGGAAGTTCTTAAATAACAAACCATCTGATAGTTAAATGATTCTGGATTTATAGGACGAGCAAAAATTCTCATAATGGTGACAGCAACGATTCTCTTAATGATCCCAAAAGAGAAGTACAGTGCTGGAGGCAAGTTCCACTCAAAATGAAAACATAGTTCAGGAGTTATAGCTTAAAAATTTCAACACTCCAAACCATTACATTTGACATGGTAACTTAATGGAGCTCTGGACTACACTGTCAATACTGCAGAAGTTCTTAAATAACAAACCATCTGATAGTCAAATGATTCTGGATTTATAGGACGAGCAAAAATTCTCATTACATATACAAGTACCCCCAGTATCATCGAATAAGACAGGGCTAGTAAAACCCCTATGTATTGGATAATTTTGTGTCGAAACAAGATTATCCCCCTATATTTGGTATGCATAAAAAAGCAAATCTTTATATATTCCATCCATAATCTAAACAACTTCAAAGCATCCAACATCACTGTTTGCCACAACTCTTTAACCTTTAAGAATCTCCACCAATGCAGGTGGGTAGGGCTTATGCAATAACCATGTACCTAAATATGTGATGGGGTTGTCTACAAAGAGACCATTTACTTTTTCTACAAAGAGGTCACAATCATTTCTCTCTTTTAGATTTCAAAATGGATGGTTGTAGTGTCATTGATTAAACACAAAGTTCCAAAAAAAAAAAATCTCGGACTTTGTGACTCATCCCAAGCCATCCAATTTGACATCTAATGAGTGGGAATAGTTGTAACCTCCTTGAACGAAAGGTAAATGGTCTCTTTGTAGACCATCCCATATCTGACATAGGAATATCCACTAACGAAGCTGTGAAGAGCTCATGACATAAGCACACGTACAGATGATGTGTTCCCCAAGTAAACTTGGAGTTGAGAAGGACATGTAAGCCATCTAGTCTCACTGAATATCTGTTTAATAATAATATCCACCAATGAAGATGGGAAGGGCTCATGAAAGGAGCCCAAACCTAAAGATGATGCAAAGTTTTCGGCAAACTCGGAGCAGAGAAGAGTAATTGATAAGTCATCCAGTCTTGCGGAATATCCTGAGGACTTCCCCTTAGCCATCCAGGTTCACGAAAAAATTTGGGAATGACCTAGGTGAGTTGCCTGTCACTAGCTCAACTTAGGATTCACATCGTTTAATTTTATTTGGAAACACAGAAGCCCATAGTTGTGGGAACCGTGGAGATAAGGCCGTAGTCCCACCATAGGAACTCGATCCTATGGTTCCTCTAAGGGATCTTAGAGTGAGCTAGATTTAGAGAAATAGGGATCTTGCTCCCAATAAAATGGGATCTCGGTCTACATGCTTGTAAGATCCCTCCAAGGAGATGAGTTATACTATTAATTGAACTATTGCTCCTCTCCTTGGTATTATAGATTCATTTCTTTAAAATATGTTAAATTGTGGTGCATCTTACATCATGGATATTATAGATTCATTTCTTTAGAATAAGTTGAATTGTGGTGCAATATGCATCGTGGCATACTAAAATTATGGTATTAAAAAACTATAGTTTAATATCATAGTAGGCCAATTTATAATATTATTAAACTATATTATTGTAGTACTATAACTATGGCATTGGTAATAAGCTAAGGTGTATGATAATGGATCGAGCGGGGCATTGGCTTGATCCTAATTTTGTCATATACTATTAATTGATCTCGGTTTATGTATAGTGGAGCTTAGATCCCTCCACGTCAAAACCTCAATCCTAGTGAAATGAGATCTTGCTTCCAAGCATCCCAGGATCTATTATTAAACTATATTATTGTAGTACTATAACTATGGCATTGGTAATAAGCTAAGGTGTATGATAATGGATCGAGCGGGGCATTGGCTTGATCCTAATTTTGTCATATACTATTAATTGATCTCGGTTTATGTATAGTGGAGCTTAGATCCCTCCACGTCAAAACCTCAATCCTAGTGAAATGAGATCTTGCTTCCAAGCATCCCAGGATCTAGCTCCTTAACTTGTTGAATGTACGAATATTGATCCTAATACTAGGGAGCTTCCACCCTATGGTAGTTTGGCATTCCCTGATCCCACTTCCAAACCCGCTCCTGCCTGTAACAACTATGTGGAAGCCATATGCTGGTTCTTTTACTTCAAAATCCATTTGAGGGATATCAATGGGTCAGATAAACCCAACTTCATTTATAGCATATAGGTGCAATACTTTTAATAAGGATAATGACTCAAAGTTGTTCGAGAATTGCTCAACAGGCAATAGACAAACTACAATCCAAGGAAGCTTAAGGCATTCTTCATGAGATGCAGTGCCTGTATAATTCAAGGTAATGGCCCTGATGGGCTATATCAGTGCAAGAAACTGAAGTAGAAGGCCTCCTACACCCTACTGAAAATTAGGCTCTTTTCTGTGTCGCTAAGGCTAGGTTAGGACATTGGTGGAAAGCAAATTGTGGAGGTTCAGCAAGGCATCTATCATTCATGACTTTCCTTTGAACACAAGTGCCCGTGTCTATCATTCTAACTAGTCCACCTAACCTGGCTTACCTTTCAAATAGAACAGAATCCTTGGGAAATACCTTCACATCCCATTCAAGTTGTTGGGCATCTAGAAAGCATACCAACAATCTTCGCTTTTTCAGCATATAGATGCCATGCAACAAAACTAAAGCAATAATATTTGAGAGTTGCTCTTTTTTTTACCTTTGTTTTCTTTTTTTTTTGAGTTTTTTGGTAATTTTATTTTAGTATTTTTTTTTTGCTTTAATGATAGAGAAAAAATTATGTATTTTGCATTTTCTAATGAGAGGAGCCTCATCCAAATCATGTGACACTCTCTCTGAATGGTCATGCCATGAGACAAGGTCATGTTATACAATTAAGTGAAGAAAACTAGAACAATATGATAAAAAATATTATACCTTATCAGCAGCAGCTTGCAATGTGACATGATCACCCCACTCACCATTTCTAATTTCCATAAGAAAGAATAGGTAGAATCATGACCAAAATACAGTGAACAATAACAATACCCTGCTAGAAAGAGAAACGAGCAAAAACTTGCCTTGACAACTTTATCAAGTACTCATCATAGGCCATTGGCACATATGCCCCATAAATATCAGCATGAGAACTCAGCTGCAGAAGGGAAAAAAAACAGCTTTTATCAAAAAATGCTGCAATAAATATTGCACTAAAAACAATAAAGGATACTCAAATGAGCATATCCCCAAGAGAAACAGGTTTTAAAGTTGATGAAAAGAGGACAAAAAATGTGGCCAACTACATGAAAGTACTCCTGCGATATCATAATCCCATGGATTATGAAAAAATCGACTTTCCTACAAAATTGGGAAAACATCCTCCGACTCCAACTACCTCGGGTTGTATGAGCTAACAACTGGTCTCCCCATCCAGCAGGCCGCACAAAACTGAATTTTGATGGGTGCTCCTTTGGAAAACCCTGCCCCAGCTGGAGTCCTTGGGGTTTTCAAAGACCACCATGGCAATATCCTGGCCTCTTTCTCCAAGTCCATTGGCCATGCTGATTCCCAGCTAGCCGAGTCTATGGCTCTACTTTTGGGTCTCAAATTATTCGATCCCGTGTGGGGAAAACCTCTGATTGTGGAAGGAGATGCCCAAAATATAATCACTTGGGCTTCTGGAATTGCTGCCCCCCATAGTACCTTGCTTCGATTTATGATGAGATTATGCACATTTGCAGGGATACGGCCATCTTATGGCGGCATATTTGGAAGGAATCAAACGCCCTGGGGGACCAACTGGCTAGGGAAGGTACGGGTGCTCGTGTTGCGGATCCTTAAGAGCCCGGGGACTGGTTTGCACACCATTGCATCTAAACCTTAGTCTTTTTTGTATTCTCAACCTTCAGGATCCACTGCCTTTTGTATATCCTTTGTAATGGGCATTTGTTATAAGCCCCACTCATTTTTTGTCTAGGGGCCTTTTGGGTAAGCCCATTTTTTGCCGAGAAGCCCAGCCTGTGGGCTATCTCGACGGACTACTGTAATACCTTTTATATTAATACAACAGCTAACAACTTCAGAAAAAAAAAAAAAATTATAATCGATATCCTTTGAAAGGAAGGATGGTTATAGTGAGAGTTTGGGTCCTAACAGAAGACATGATCCCAATGGATTAACATTTCGGATGGTGATAACAAATGGATCACAGTAAACCCATATTCCAGGGGGTCATAGTGTACTTTCCCAAAACATATATAAAACAAGGATTCATCATTGAACTGTAATTGCAAGGCTAGTAGACCAAATAACACATATACCCTCACGAACCTGATTAACAACTTGTTCTCTCACAAATTTGTGATGCTCAGGCGAACGATAAAATTGATCTGAAAGTGCTCGGAACTGTAAAAGAATTCAAATTTAGTACCTTAAATGGCATAAAGATAAGATGCAATAAATTGATATATCTAGCAAGGATGTAAATTTCAGATAATCAAATAACTAATGTCTACAGAAACTAAATATGGGTAATAGGTGATATACAAAGATTATAAGAAAAAAAATGGAAATAGACAGCTTGATATTCATCAATGGAAGTAGCATTTTAGAAACAATAATTCACGAGACATCATCACAAAAAGAACAATATCATGTCTACATTTTCATCTTGAGAAGTAATGTTGTCCATACAGATGCAAAAATCGCAAATGAAGTTAGTGAGCCCCTATAATGTCGTTTTCTTACATGGAACTGTTCACAGTTGCTCTACAGGCTCCCCAAAGTTCTGGCTAAAAGCCAACCTACAGTTTGATTCCTAAAGTTGAACAAGGACAGGGTAAAAAGAACCCATAGACCAATCTCCACGCCTCTATAGCAAGGATCCTTCCAGAAACCAACCCCAACAGTTTTCCTAGCCATCATATGACCACCTCCACCACTTCCATTCATTCACTTCAGAGTTTGGCATGAGGAAGGTCAAACAAAAGATCAGGTGTCCGAATAAAGAAAAAGCACATTGGTAGAACCATTGAAGCAAAAATCAAACCAGTTTCAAAGGAAATAAAAGAGAGGAGGACAACAGACATTAGGACATTAATATTTAATCTCCAAATTGATGTGTCACTGTCAAATATCAACCTATTCTGCAACATTCATTATTGAGCTATTGAATAGATGATAGTTGACATGTACGGGTTAGCCAAGGACTATGGTATACAACAAGGAATGCCCAATAATCCCTAGTAGTATTTACAAATTTGCTAAGGCTCCAAATATTGGTACTCAGACAACTTACAAAGAAGGCAAAGAATTTGCACACAAGAACAATTAAGCATCTAGGGCACATGAAGAACATGCACATCCACAATTTAAACAAATAGTAGTCCTGCATGGATGAAGTTGTTAAATATAGATATTTGAAACATTTACTGAATGGGCCATACAAGCAAACAAATGCATGCATGCAACCGCAGATATATTAGACAGAGTAAAAAGGAGATTGGCATCATATTCCCATGTTAGTTCAATCAAACAAAGTAAAAGCAAAGAAACCAATTGACCTGGCAGTTACCATCTCCTTCAACTTTCCGCTCAATCAAATCATAAAGTTGTAACCTACAAAGACAAAATAATCATCACCACCATCAATGAAGTTATTCCACTGATGAACATAGGGAAGAAGCATGAAATGTGCAGTTCCAATCTGGAATTTCAAAGGCAACCATTTGGATCATAAATAGTCAATGTTTTTGATGTATTTGAAACTGAAAGTCACCATAACAAAAAAAGGGTACACGATACATATACTAGAGCCTGATAAGCAAATTTAAAATTGTTAACAGTCTCTCAGTTAAGCCAGTTTCTTTGCGTAATAACCTCTTTGAATTCATCACTGGAAGAGTAACTAAAAGACTATACCTGTCAACAAGTCTTTGATGATCGGAGATTTCTTCATCAACAGAAGGAATTTCTCCATTAATTCTAGGGACATGCTGCACAACAAACAGACCCTCACATTAAGATTCAATAGAAGCGTCAAACTCCAAGGTGTACCACGAAGAAATAACATGAGCTAGTCATGAAACATGATCTAAAACATAAGGGGCCAAAGTTACTCAAGCATATATGCATATCCACATTTACCCAATAATGAATTATCCATCTCCAAAAGCGATCATCACAAATCATGGCTCTGACATAATAACTTGAAGATGAACGTGATGCATTATGGGTCTGACTTACAAGAGCTTTACACATTTTGAGCCTAGCTATTTCCAAAAAGGATACAGGACCAAACACCTCTTGCTAAGACACAAGAGGAATGCCATCAATAGGGTTGGCTTGGGATGCAGTCATGACTGATAAAAGAGTAATGAGAAGCTGATTTTTTTTTATTTATTTATAATGTTAACTGTATTGAGAAAGAGAGAAAGTACATGAAGCGTAGAGGAAACCCACAGACCAGGCCTCGGTAATCCTATACAAAAAAAGGGCTAGAATAAGTACAAAAACCCTAGCATAATAAAATGAAAGCCATATACAAAAATCCCAGTCACACGGGCTCACAAGTCAATTGATAGCGCTCCATCTCTAGCAAGCTGTTCCGCCAGGGCGTTGGACTCCCTCCAGGTATGCCTCCATGAGATCGCTATATCCCTGCAAGTGGGAGTAATCTCGTCAAAATATGTTGCGAGGTACCAGAGGCAAGATGAGGAGGCGCAGGCCCAAGTGATGATGCTTTGAGCATCTCCTTCGATGATTAGGGGTTGAGCCCAAGAGGGATCGAAAGTCTAAGTCCAGATAGAAGTGTCGTACACTCAGCAAGCTGTAAGACTGCATGGCCAATGTTCCAGAAGAAGGAAGAGAGAACATTCCTGAGGTGGTCTCAAAAGGCTCCACCCACACTTGCTGGGCCAGGATTGCCAAGTGAGCATCCGTTACAATTGAGTTTGGTCTAGCCCTCAGGGGGAGAGGACCAGACGGAAGATTGAGACTGGCTAGGGGAGCAGTTGTAGATAAGGTTTTTTCATTGGCGTAGGAACATAGTGGAGGGGATTCCTTTGAAAAGCTTGTGGTTTGTTGCCCAGGAGATGACTGCAACAATTATCTTATGGAAGAGGGCCGGAACCTCAGTTTTGACCCCACGAAAAATTCTGGTGTTTCTCTTTATCTAAATGACCCAAATCTGTGTTGCAATGGACGCCTTCTACAAATCCCTACCTGCTTTGGAACATGGGGTTTCGAGGGAGAGATGGTACAGGGCCGGGATGGAGGGAGGGGTAACCCAATTGAGACCGAAGAGTTGGAGCAGAGAGCTCCACAAGTTGTGAGCAAGGTGACAATGGATGAAAAGGTGCGAGTTACTTTCTTCATCCATGAGGCACATCACACAACGATTGGGGATGGGAAACCCTCTATGCTGGAGATGATCCATCGTGAGAGCCTTTTGTGAGATTACGATCCAGGTTAGGGCTTGAACTTTGGGTCGGGCGATGGGTGACCAGGTCTGAACAACGATGGATCTAGGTGAAAGAGGGAAAGTAGGCAACATCAGCAGTTTCTTGTAAAAGGTGGCAACAAAAAACCTGCTCGAGGGTAAAGGGGTCCAAATGATTTGGTCAGAGCCAGAGGAGGCCAAAAACTAGAGTGCAACATGGATGACAACGTCAGGAAGTCTGAGGTTTCGAGGTATGAGAGGGGCCACCTGAAGGAGGGACTCCAAACTCTGAGTGAGCCTGAGAGGGGCACTTCCTCCGCGATAGAGGAGAGCCTATTCGTGACCAAGGAGAAAAGGGCAGGGACAAGTTCATTGAGGGGGTTATGACTTAACTAGAGGTCGGACCACAAAAGAACTTGATGTCCTACCCTGGAGTGGAAACAAATGTTGTTCTGGAAAAGGATTAAAGAGGATAAGAACGACTTCTAAGCTCCAGAAGATCTAGTGGTCGAGTTTGCGCCAGGAAGCTAGGCGTAGCTATGGATGCGATACTTGCACCAAATGACTTGTGTCCAAAGGAGGTTATTTTGAGTCTCCAACTGCCACCACCACTTCCCTAGCAATGTCGTGTTGTGTTTCCTTAGGAGACGAATGCTAAGACCGCCAAGGTGTTTGGGTTAGCAAACTTTCTCCCGAGCAATAAGATGGTATTCTTTGGTGGTTTCGTCTCCTGCCTAGAAGAAATTCTTCATGAACTACTTTAGGCGATTGGCCACCACCGCTGGCATATGAAAGAGGGACATGACGTAGATGGGGGTGTTGGCTAGGGTAGCCTTGATGAGGGTAGTTCTTCTTGCAAAGGAAAGAAAACATCCTTTCCAGCCAGCTAGGCGGCGGTCCACTTTGTCGATGATGTGGGACGACTATCATTTTTTGGGCTTCCCGAGACCTAGTGGCATTCCTAGGTAGCTAGTGGGTAGGTCTTCCACTTTACACCCCCATCCAGGAACAAGGAACCTGGTCTCAACAAAGAGAGAGCAACCCCAATCATTGTGGATTTTCTGAGGTTCACTTTAAAGCCCGTAAAAAACTCGAAGCACTTAAGGAAGACACGGAGGGTTTCAATTTCCTGGGGAACTGCGTCACGGTAGATGAGGGTGTCATCAACATACTGCAGGTGAGAGATGACTGGTTCCCTAGGGCTAGTCTTGAAGAAGGTGAGATGCTCTGTCTGAGACATTCTTGAGATCGATTGGCTGAAAACCTCTGCCAAGATCGTGAAAAGGAAAGGGGAGAGAGGGTCTACTTGACGAAGGCCCCCTAGACGTTGGGAAGTAGCCCTTTGGAGTACCATTGATGAGTACAAAGAATAAAGGACTGGAATAACAACCTTTCATCCATTTCCTCCACCTCAGTCTGAACCCCACACATTCATAGTCTCGTCAAAGATTGTCCAATCCACATGGTCATATGCCTTCTCCCAGTCGATTTTGAAGATGAGGCCCAAACGCTTAGTGAGATGCCCAGAGTGGACACATTCGTGTGCCACCAATACCCGTCAAGGATTTGTCTATCTTTAATGAATGCACTTCTGGTGAGGGAGATGATGTTGGGGAGGATAACTTTGAGCCGCAAGGCAAGCACTTAGGAGAGGATCTTGTAAATGGAGTTGATGAGGCTTATTGGGCGAAAGTCCATGAGCTCTTCAGCACCTTTCACCTTGGGGACCAATGTAATGAAAGTTGCATTCACTGCTTTGTGGATTATCCCCAGGTGGAAGAACTCTTCAAAGAAATTGAGAAATCCATTTCTTAAGGAATTCCAGAACACCTTAAAGGGAGCTATAGGGAACCCATCAGGTCTCAGTGCTTTATCTTGCCCTAAATCTGACAGAGCGGCCAGAACTTCAGATTCTGAGAATGGACGTTCAAGCCAGGCGGCTAGGTGTCCAGGAAGGGTGAGAAAAGGGAGGTCTGTCATCCTGGGTTTAGGACCCAAGGGGGCAGTATAGAGGTATTGGAAGAAGGATTCAACTTTTGGGCGTTGGTCTAAAGATGTGTTAGCTACCTTGATGGAAGAGATGGAATTGTCTCTTCGCCGACAGTTGGCAATCCTGTGGCAGAACCTGATATTGAGATCTCCGGATTTCAGCCACTTCACTCTGAAGCGTGGGAACCAAGAGATCTCTTCTTTTTAAAGGCCGGAAAAATATTCTAGTTTGTGGAGGGTTCTGCTTTGGATTTCGGAGTGAGACAGAGGTTGAAAATTCTAAACCGAGAACTTTGGATAGGAAAACCTAGAAAGCCTTACAATGTGTAATGACATACCAAGAAATAAAAAGTCAAGCATATGTAAAATGAGGTCAGCATCCACAAGTTTCCATATGGGAATGGTTCCTAAAGACTATAAGTCAACTAATCAAACCCATTCTAAAATGAAGTTCAAGAAAATTTGGAAGAAGCATATGTTATGTACCAAGTTCATCTTAGCAACAACCATGGAAGAGCAAACAGAGCATCCCTATAATACAATCAAAGAAACCATTTTATAAGGAAATCAGCATGGCAAAACCTACTTGAGTCATCATCTGCCCATTCTTAAACCAGTTAACTACCTTTTTTGCCTATCCCACCTCATAGTTAAGAAAATCATTTTACAGCATGAGCTTACTAGGTTCTATACCCCCTCCACCCCAACACACCCCCCCCCCCCCCCTTCCTTTATTTTTCCCCCTTTCCCGCCCCAAAAAAGAAATAAAAGAATGAACACCAATTTCAATGAGAAACGAAAAGCATCTTGATTCCATCATATTAATGCGAAAAAACCTTTTGCGTTTGTAGCAAAAACTATTTTGTTGTATTTAATGCTCTCAAAATTCCAGGCAAGAGACAACATGTGTTTTTACATGGGAATTAAATTGAGCAAGTACTCTTTTTTGATATCTCATTCCTTTTGGAATTGTTTAATATTGTTTTGGTTTAAACCAATGATTTAAAAATCGCCGAGTCGAACCGAACTCGCCCGGTTTGACTTGAGAATCGGCACAGGCCGTGCCGGTTCCAGCACAAAACCGGGAACCGCCCGGTTCTAGAACAGAACCGTCGGTTCTCTCCTGGTTCTAGCGGTTCCCCCTCAGTTCTAACCGGTTCCCTCCCTATTCTAACGGTTCCCTCCCAGTTCTAGCCGGTTCCCTCCAGGTTCCAGCCTTCACACATGTGTACACATCACGTGTGCCACACACACTACTCACACATGTTTGTACGTGTGACACGAGCCGTACACACTCCCACACGTGCCACACGCACGTGTGTGCATCACGTGTGCCACACGCACCACTCCCACACGTGTGTACGTGTAACATGAGCGGTACACACTCCCACACGTGCACCAGTTCAAGCCTCAAAAACACCTTCACACGTAAATGCTCGTCACACGTGCGACACACACCATTCCCACATGTGCATATGTGCCACACGTGCGACACACACATACACGTACAGGTCACACATGCGACACACCACTCCCACATGTGCCACGCACATGCACATGTGCATG